GAAAGGCTGTAGTTAACATCTTAATCTCTTCTTGGTTTGTTATTAAACTATATAGTCATATAGTCTCTTGGTGATGAAAGGCTGTAGTTAACATCTTAATCTCTTCTTGGTTTGTTATTAAACTATATAGTCATATAGTCTCTTGGTGATGAAAGGCTGTAGTTAAGATCTTAATCTCTTCTTGGTTTGTTATTACACTATATAGTCATATAGACTTTTGGTGACAAAATATCGTTGCTAAGCTCCTTACCTGTCCTCGGTTTGTTGTTTTGTGCAGTTTTTATAATCATGTAGCTTCTCAGTGACGAAGGACTGTCCCTAATAAGTTTTTGTCATATTCTTGTTTTGTGTGGAATTTACATAATTATGTAATTTTTGGAGTGATGACGAACATTTTCTCAGTTCTTTGTCTTTCCTCGGTTTGTTATTACTCAGTGGAGTTTATACAGCCATATAATCTCTTGGTTGGTTTATTCATATATTTCCTTTATTTATACGTAATTTATAAAATAAAAAGTGACTAAAATAGTGTATATACTGGTCAGACAATTGGTCAACTAAAATGTCATTTGAGTGAACTAAAGTTTGAAGAAAAAGCAAAAATGCACTTTATCATGTGCAGCATAACATAGTATGAATGGGGCGGATACACAATACAAACTATTTACTCATATACACTTTTCACAACCAAATAATATATCTTCAAAAGTATTTGAGAGACACTCTTAGGTGATAAACAAACTACATACAAAATTACAAGTCGTACAGCCACTTAAGAAAGTCAGCAGAGCAGATACACAAAATTCACAAAACTGCAAATTTCTCAATCTCACTGAATGACTGATATTGTTGAACGCTTCTAGCTGTGTAACAAACAGACCTACCATAGTTATAAGTGCACCAAATAGAATAATAGCACAGGGACCACCTGCTATTGCTGGCATTTTTATATACCAAACATCATCAAAAAGAATAACTAATTTATCAACCCTTAGTTTATGTACATAACCACAACTCCCGCTACATCACCCAAATGACATTGCACACTAGTGTGTGCCATCACATATACAACATACTCACAATGTGAAATACCATAAGTGAAGAGAATGCACACACCACACACGCATAAACATACAATACACCATTATTTGCATATACCATAATATTATGATGCATACCCATCCTGATGATATACATACAGGATATCAACACAAATGAATGAATGATGCATAAGATCATGTTACTTTATATGAAAAATGTGCATGAACAAATCGAAAAACTATTTAAAAAATTAAAGTGTAGGAATGGGTGCATCAAAAAGTGAGGAAACAAGGCATGGTGTACTAAAACTTCCTTTGTACAAGCTCACACAAGGGGGCGTGTCCAACATCCGGTCCGTGCCTACTTTGTTTTTTATGTGTGGGTGTTCATGATATTATACAACTTATGAGTACATACAAAAGTGTCTCTATGATTGTTCTACTTTTGTATAGACAGTAACCAATCCATGATGTCGATACACAGAAACCTCTTAGGATATTTTATCTTTATATCTTAATCAATCTATATAGATAATGTACAAAATCATGTTGCCTTCTCATGCAATTGGAAAAGTTGTAAAGAGAAAAACAAAACAAATTATGGGTCCCCACACATATCTGATTCTTCTGGTGTCGTAAAACAAACTTTACAATACATATACTGCCTCCATTAATTTGATTCACAGAAACCTCTATTCATTGTATGATAAGCATAACTAAATTTAGTAAGTTTAGTCCACCTGGTTTATTGTATACAGGATAGGAAGAATAAACAAAGTAGCCATGGACTGGATGTTGGACACGCCCCTTGTGAGGTTTTACAGAGGAAGTTTTATTACACCATGTCCATTCCTACCTTGTTTCCTCACTATTTGGTGCACCCATTCCTACACTTTCAATCTTTTAAAGATATTTTTCCACTTTTTAACTTTAACCATCGTATCCTATTATGGGATGAGACCTAACTAATTTGTTCTCTGAGTAATTACACTAGATAGAATGTAAGATCACTGGAATATAATTAAAGTAGAGACTTTTCTTTCAGTAAAAAACCGAGGCCCAAGAATTTCAGTCCTCCAGTTGAACTTGGATTAACATTGTATAAACATGTATATATTCCTACGTAATTATTAACAAATATTTTGTATATATTGTTCTATAATTATGTTGAATGTTTTACCTTATGTTATGTGTGTGTACTTTTTTGTTGTTATGTTTAAATAGAACTTTGATTTAAATGTGACAAGCACCATGTGTTATAGGAACAACTTTTCTCTATATATACTGTTGTCTCATTTATTTTCATTCTGCCTGATGATGGCCCGTACAAATGTCGAAATATGTAGCAAAATATCTTTGTTTTTGCAATAATAAATAATTGTAGTTTAAAAATTGTATTACTTATATTAATTAAATGCTACAAGATATATGAATAAAACAGTTAAACTTCCTTAGCCGAGGACTTCAACGCATACCCTTAATCAGTGAATGTTACTAATTACATCAACGAGACCTAATAGGCCTAACTGTTGACATGATAAACTATACCAGTATACTGGAAGTGGGTTCAATAACTTAGTTTATCCTGACTGCTACTTTACGAGGTAACAATGAACATTATAAAGAAATAAAATGGGTTAATAATTGATCATGGGTGTCAGCTCAGCAGTGTGTAATTTATAATCTAAACTTACTAACTGTAGACTCTGCTGAAGACAACTGAAATATTGTGGAGTATGCTGAAAACCAAATTTCTTCTAAGACGAGACACAAATAGATTCGCTATTTACAATACTAAGAGTTAATATTAACGACGGTCTTCTTATTAATAAGTGTATATTTCATGAATGTAGAACAAAATTGCAATTAGAGATTAATCGACTTGATTTCTCAGTAAATTATAGATACTGTATTACTGTAAAAAGCAAATTGCTTCAGAAATTTTCAAAACTTATTATATAGAACATGAAGTTGAACTTTTTCAGAAATATTATAAAACAGACACGGAACTGTATATGTAAGTTAGAAACTGAAGTTTATAATTTAGATTTTAATGAAGATGGTAATTTCCTGTATATGATAGGGCTTAAAATTGGGTTTTTAGTTAAATGGGTTGTTTTGAACATAAAGAAAAACTACGGAAGAAAACGTTTTCCCTTATCAAAGTCACATATCACTTTGGATACTAAAAATAACAATAAAGATAATAACCACATTGATCAACCTCGAAAAGTTATGAACTTACGTGATCTTCAAATAACTGAAGGTTAGTTAAAATTATTAAGCAAACAATTAAACCTTTCTATAAACTGTTTTACAGAGAATTGGACCTCGGTTATTGAATTTAACTTAAATAAGATTTAACTCTCATCTAAGTCTAAAAATAAAATATATTTCGATTCAGACCTTGTTTTGTTCCTCTACAGTTTTATGCACTACCTAAAGTAGATAAAGAAAATATTCCTTGCTGCCCGAAAGTTTCTGGTATTAAGTTTCATTTCATTTCGTTGCCAAATTCATAGCTGATAAATTATCTTTCTTATCCTCACAATATAAACACTTCATTAAAGATTCAACACACTTTGTCAATCAAATCCAGTTTTTAAAACTATCCCATAATGATGTTATGGTTTGTTTAGGTGTTGAAGTTTTATCCACTTCGGTCCTTGTAAATGAAGTCATTAGATGTTTTGAATAAGGTTCATTCGGAATCACATATATTTTATTACATATTCACTTGAAGTAATAAATAAGTGACACACAATGTTAAAACAGATACACAATTAAAAACATTTTTTAAATTCAGACCAATATATGGCCTCTAAAATGTGTTTACCACGTCCTCATGAGGAGCGAACTTGCAAGACGTAAATGTCACATTTATTCCTTCTTAGCTAGGTTATGTGATTTGTGTGTAAGTTTACGTTTCTAATTAAACCGCAGAGGAGGTCCTGCCACAATCTTACACAGATAATCGCTATATCTTCGTCTCTATTTAGTAATTCTTTAATATTTTAAATATAATTTTATATAAAGATTCGCGGATATTATTGACTCTGATACCCTTTGGTTGAGCCAATGTTACTGTTTTTTTTTTTTTCATGATATCTTATATTGTGTTTTTGTACATATTCTGCTATGGTCTAATTTTCAGTCCTTTCAATTTTTACACATCCCTCATGTCTGCTAAACAATATTTTAAATTACATTTTGTTTGTCCAATAGAAACACTTTGACATTCACATTAAATTTTATAAAGTCCATGGATTAAAAATATTTTAAATTGTGTATCGATTTTAACGTTGTGTGTTACTTATTTATAATTTTAACATTATACACAAGTGTCCAGAAAATAATATATATTCACTTGAAATCGTTTGTTTGCAAAGCTACACGAGTGATATCTGCGCTAGCCTTCCTTAATTTAGCAGGGAAAGGCAGCTAATCATCACCACCCACTCTTCGGCTACTCTTTTACCAACGAATAGTGGGATTGACAGTCACATTATAACGCCACCACGGCTGAAAGGGCGAGCATGTTTGGTGAGACGGGAATTCGAACCCGCGACCCTCA